AATATAATAATAATATAATATAATAATAAAATAATACAAATAATATAATAATTATATAATATAATAATAATAATAATAAAAATAATATAATAATAATAATATGATAAAAATAATATAATAATAATATAATATTAATAATAAAATAATAAAGCTGGTACAGAAGCTGCTTGAGATGTTTTGTTGTTGTTGTTGTACGTTGGTCCCTGCTGTAGAGTCTGACTTTAATGAATTATTTAGTTATTGAAAGACTTTAAAGTTCACTCAGCTCCACAGCCCCCCCCCACACACAGAAAACAAACGCACCCCGCTGTCACAGTAAAATTGTTTATTTAAATCTCAAAACTTTATTCGCTCAGTCATTAACAAATAATTTAATGCAGTTTGTACAAAGCCAGAGAGTCGACGGTGGAAATACTCGACTACATGATGGAAACACTAAACAATGAAGAAGAAAACATGAAATATAACAACAACCATTAGTGTTTAAAAATATCTCTCACCTCCTCAACATTTACACACTTTTACTACACACTCCTTGGTAGAAAATATACTTTTAAACCCTTTTACAAACATATTTTATCTCTTTATCGCACTGATTTCTCTCCTGATTGAACACTCGCTGTTCGGGGGGAATCAAAGCAACCTGTGGAGCTTTATCGGAGCTTAATAATCCTAAATAATCCTCTGTAAGTCGATTCATTCTCATGAAGGTTGGTTTGTTGTGAAATGTTTGAACTCATTCAGTCGCTGAGGGAACCAAGAAGCTGCAGGAGGGAGTGAAACAGTGAAACATTCAGGAACTCTAATCTGCAGCTACGGCACTATTAGAGTGTGAGCGAGTGTCACACACACACACACAGACACACACACAGACACACACACAGACACACACAGACACACACAGACACACACACACACAGACAGACACACACAGACACACACAGACACACACACAGACACACACACAGACACACACACACACACACACACACACACACACACACACACACACACACACACACACACAGACAGACAGACAGACACACACTTGCATAGATCCAGGTAGTGTAATCAGGTAAGGCAGCACGGTGACTTTAAGTGATTTTAACCTCCACCACAGACTCTTATTTTGAAATGCCACATTTGTCTTGTTACTAAAAATGAAGGTAAATAAAGTGACTCTTATTCTGAAATGTCCCCTCTGACTCTGAGCGGTCACACCTGCGATGAGGTCACACTGAAATGATACAGGTGAGCTGGATCGTCCAATCAGAGACGAGACAGAAAAAGAAGTTGTGATATGTTCTGAGACGATGTGTTCAAGGTCATCACGTATAATCCTCCGTCCTGGCTGTCTCCATCTGTGATGATGAGGTCGACTAACGTTCTCACACACACACACACACACACACACACACTAGGGGTCTACGAAGGACACCATGATGTATCTGGTCCCTCTGGTGGTGGGCAGACCCTCGTGGTAGTGCGTCAGGCGGCCAGGGTGCATGAAGGACCAGCCCTTCTTAGGAGACTCCACCTTACAGTCGTAACGCAGGAACCTGCAGCCCCCACCCTGACACACACACACACACACACACACACACACACACACACACACACACACACACACACACACACACACACACACACACAGAGGTAAACAGGGTTTCTAGGACATTTCCAGGTATTTTCTTGACTGTGAGTCTGAGTGTGTGAGTGTGTGAGTGTGTGTGTGTGTGTGTGTGTGTGTGTGTGTGTGTGTGTGAGTGTGAGTGTGAGTGTGTGTGTGTGTGTGTGTGTGTGTGTGTGTGTACCTCGTAGTCGTCGCCCTTGCTGTTCAGGGCGATGTTGATGGTGAAGGTGGAGGAGTCGTGATGCGGTCGCAGAGACGGCTGCTCGTCGGGACGATAACGAACCACAAAGTTCATGATGGCCTGAGCCTGCACACACACACAGACACACACACAAGACACACAGACACACAGACACACACACACACACACACACACAATATATATGAATATGATGTAAACTCAGTGACTTCCATCTCTACCAACTTAAGAAGTGTTCTATATTAAAAATAAAGTCTTCCTTCAGTTCAAGTTGAACTCTGTATGTAAATATGTTGTATGTAGATTTGGAGTTGTAACCAAAGTAATTTCCCCCTGTAAGTATTTCTGATTCTCATTATTTCAGAGGACCTGAAGGCACCGTTTTATCTGGTGGCACTAAAGTGTCGGCGCGGTGTCGGTTCGGTACCTTGGGGAAATATCCGGGGTAGAGTTTCTCGGTGACGGGGACGATGTACTCCTTTAGGAACTTGAGCCACTCCTTCTCAAAGCCGATCTGAGTCATGTGGATGTCCACAGTCGGGACGTTCTCATAACCACCGGCCAGACGCTCGTCCTGAACGCAGAGAGACAGACAGATCAATACTCACTGCATACAGACAGACATATCAATACTCACTGCAGACAGACAGACAGACAGGAAGACAGACAGAAGGGTTACCTTGTGAGAGCCTCCAGACCATTCACCGTTGTGCTCCATGGTCTCCACCAGGTGATCACACATCTTCTCTGAGAAGGCTGGGAACCAGTACACATCTGGACAGGGCTGAGACACACACTTCAGATCAGTATTGGCTCATTATCGGCTCATTATTGGTTCAGTATTGGTTCATTATCGGTGAGGTATAGATCAGAACTCTGAGCTCAATAAAACAGTTTGATACCTGCTGCACAAAGTTCTTCTCGTCTTCAAAGATCCTGGAGTAGTTCTCATTCACATACTTCTCCTTCCAGTCCTGCAAACACACACACACACACACTCGTTCAGCCAGTGTGTCCACAGTGTGTGTGTGTGTGTGTGTGTGTGTGTGTGTGTGTGTCTCTGACCACAGGGTTATCGAAGATCTGCCACATGTCGGGGTGCAGTCTGGATGTGTTGAAGTTGGACGACGCCACCAGACGACCAAACTCATCGCGGTTGGACACAAACATGAAGACTCCCTGTGGACACACACAGACAGACAGAGACACAGACACACAGACAGACAGACAGACACACAGACCAGCTTTAATAAAGAGGTATTGATGATATTGTTGGACAATCTAACGTGCGGTTGTAGGCAGTGTGAACCTGTTGTAGGTGTGAGGTGTTACCTGGTCTCTGATGGTCCTGCAGAAGACCATGTCAGGGTCCATCTCCTGGTCCACGTACAGGCTCACCTGGGACAGTTTGGACCGCAGCACGCTGCCTTTGATCAGGTAGGCCTGAGTGATGTACGGCACGTTCCACAGTCCGCTGCACACACACACACACACACACACACACACACACACACACACACACACACACACAGTTAGACATTAACCACCTCACCTGTGCTGTGACACGGACTGTGTGTGTGTGTGTGCGTGTGTGTGTGTGTGTGTGTGTGTGTGTGTGTGTGTGTGTGTGTGTGTGTGTGTGTGTGTGTGTGTGCTCACATCCTCTTTGCCTGGACGATCTCGATGTAGTCTTCAGATCTGGAGTAGTATCCTTCAGGACTCAGAGCGCCCCAGAAGTTACTCCACAGTTTCCCGTGTCGGGACAACATTGGAGCTATAACTGACCTGAGGGAGGACATTAAAAACAACAAACAAACAAAAAGAAAACTTAAAACACATTAATTCCTCTCAGTAAGAGGAAGCTTTAATTTGAGGGTATTTACATCCAAATCAGGTGAACCGTGTAGGAATAACAACAGTTTGTATATGTTTTTTAAGGGACCAAAGGTAATGGGACAAATTAACAATCATAAATCAAACTTTCACGTTTTAATACTTGGTTGCAAATCCTTTGCAGTCAATTACCGCCTGAAGTCTGGAACACACAGACATCACCAGACGCTGGCTTTCATCCCTGGTGATGCTCTGCCAGGCCTCTGCTGCGACTGTCTTCAGTTCCTGCTTGTTCTTGGGGCATTTTCCCTTCAGTTTTGTCTTCAGCAAGTGAAATGCATGCTCAATCGGATTCAGGTCAGGTGATTGACTTGGCCATTGCATAACATTCCACTTCTTTGCCTTAAAAAACTCTTTGGTTGCTTTCGCAGTATGCTTCGGGTCATTGTCCATCTGCACTGTGAAGTGCCGTCCAATGAGTTCTGAAGCATTTGGCTGAATATGAGCAGATAATATTGCCCGAAACACTTCTGAATTCATCCTGCTGCTTTTGTCAGCAGTCACATCATCAATAAATACAAGGGAACCAGTTCCATTGGCAGCCATACATGCCCATGACACTACCACCACCATGCTTCACTGATGAGGTGGTATGCTTTGGATCCTTTCCTTCTCCATACTCTTCTCTTCCCATTGATCGTTGTCTCATCTGTCCATAGGATGTTGTTCCAGAACTGTGAAGGCTTTTTTAGATGATGTTTGGCAAACTCTAATCTGGCCTTCCTGTTTTTGAGGCTCACCAATGGTTTACATCTTGTGGTGAACTGTATTGTACTGTACTGTATTCACTCTGGTGAAGTCTTCTCTTGATTGTTGACTTTGACACATATACACCTACCTCCTGGAGAGTGTTCTTGATCTGGCCAACTGTTGTGAAGGGTGTTTTCTTCACCAGGGAAAGAATTCTTCGGTCATCCACCACAGTTGTTTTCCGTGGTCTTCCGGGTCTTTTGGTGTTGCTGAGCTCACTCGCTTCTTTCTTTTTAAGAATGTTCCAAACTGTTGATCTGGCCACACCTAATGTTTTTGCTATCTCTCTGATGGGTTTGTTTTGATTTTTCAGCTTAATGATGGCTTGCTTCACTGATAGTGACAGCTCTTTGGATCTCATGTTGAGAGTTGACAGCAACAGATTCCATATGCAAATAGCACACTTGAAATGAACTCTGCAGTTAAAGCACATCTTCTTCGTTTCAATTCAAATCCATTGTGGTGGTGTATAGAGCCAAAAAGATTAGAATTGTGTCGATGTCCCAATATTTATGGACCTGACTGTAGAAGCTGTGGAGGGTATTAGTCGGGGCTATAGGGTATATAGAAGCTGTGGAGGGTATTAGTCGGGGCTATAGGGTATATAGTGTGTGTGTGTCCGTACTTGTTTTCCTCGATCAGTATCCTCAGTGTGTCGACGTTGGTCAGGGCCACGTCGGAGTCGATGCTGAAGTAGTAATCACACTGTGGATCCTTCTTACAGGCCTCGCTGCACACACACACACACACACACACACACACACACATTAATATCTATATATACACACACTGTTGAATCACAATCATTTGCCCTGTCTAACAGCAGCGAGTGCTCCAGGCAACAATCAGACCTTAATGGTGGTTTATTATCGTAGACCTATAAATAAACTCTGGACAGGAACAGCTGGAATTATTTGGTTCCGCCTCATTTTAACTTTAAATGGATTTAGTTTAGTCGTATGTTGAAGTTTGTAGGTTCAATTATTTGTTAGCTGAAGCCGTACAGCTGTAGAGACAGGAGTTAGTAGTAGTACGTTGAATTCAACCTGTGTTGAAAACAGGACGGAAACAATTATTTATTGATTACATCAAACACTACAGATAGTCGTCCATCAGACCTCCAGGTTCTCTGCTGATCATCAGTTCACACCTGAGGAGCTGAAACCGTCATAATATTCATCTGGAACATCTCCACTCACACAGCCATGTTTCTGGCCTTGTTCTCCTTCAGGTTCTCCTCGGGTCCGACCAGCAGGGCGTCGGGGAACAGCGCTCTGTAACGCTCCCAGAACTTCTGGATGTGGCGCTCGTGGTACACAACCTGGACCACAGACAGACGTCAACAGATCAGGACAGGACAGAGGAGATCAGAGGAGATCAGATCAGATCAGATCAGAATACGTGTGTTCTGTTTGGGTCCTACGTTGTTGTGGATGAAGAGGCGGATCCTCTCTGGCGGGTAGTTGAGGGTCGTCAGTCGGTCCAAGAACTCCTCCATGAAGGGTGTGGCGTGTTCGATGAACACAGCGACGTACACCAGAGGCATCTCCTCGTCCTGAACACACGCACACACATTTTAAACACCGTGACGAGATAAAACAACAGTGATGAGCTGAGCGCCGTCAGGCCGCCGTACGTACGGGAGCGTCGTTCAACAGCAGCAGGTCGTCATCGCAGATCCCACAGCCGTTCTCAAAGGTCCACGCCGTCGGTACGTAGTTACCCAGGTAGTTCAGCTGCAGCTGCACACACACACACACACACACACACACACACACACTGTGACCTCACTGACAGTAGTATAAGTGTGTTAAAGCTGCAGTGTCTCTAACAGCCAGCAGGGGGCAGCTCCACTCTCATAGTATTGAGTCTTATGGAGATTAATGAGCTCAGTAAACAGTTTCCTGATGAGTTTCTGGTCTCAGTCTCTAGTTTCAGTCTTCTTCCATACAGCATGATGTTCATTTAGTAACTGATGCTCTCATTTAGAGTAAAACAGACCATAAAGCAGGGTATGCTTTAGGGCGGGGCTACCTTGTGATTGACAGCTCATTCTCAGTGAGTCCGTCCAGCTCAACGCACCGAAAATACACAAAAACATTGTGATGGTCTTCATGAGTTTTGCAGCCACCGTAGTTTCTCTTTTTCAATGTGAAATCAGACTTTTGTGTAAAAATGTGTAGTTGGTAATCCCCAATAGACTATTGAATATAAGAATATATATATTTGTTTACACTTTGTCTCCATTAGCAGTGTAATACATTAGCTGTTAGCAGCTCACACTGAATGCTATGAGTTCACTGCTGAGAGAGTTAAAGCTCTGTCTCTGTCCGCTGTGTGTTCAGCAGCGTGTGAACAAACAGGGACAGCGGTGAGGTTTTTCTGCCACTGTTAGTTATCCAATGAGAGGGTTCCTACGTTGTTGTTGTGTTCAATAACTCTGAGCTGTAATTTAAACCCACAGCATCGTGTCCGCAGACCAAACAGTGAGAGCCTCAGGAGCTGCACACACTGCAGGGAGTTCTGGCCCGAGGGCCGCGATCCGCCGTTACCTTGGTGGGGCCGTTGCCGTGGATGACGACAGGAAGCGTGTCGTAGGCGACGTTCCTCGCTCTGACCTTTGCCCTCTCAAACTTCAGGACGACTTCATCTGTCAGACAGAGACACGTTCAGGTTACGGCTTCATGATCCGGTGAATGAGATTATTGTGACAGAAACTGGGAGCTGATTCAGAACCACAGTCAGTGTGTGTGTGTGTGTGTGTGTGTGTGTGTGTGTGTGTGTGTGTGTGTGTGTGTGTGTGTGTGTGTCTGTGTGTGTGTGTGTGTGTGTGTGTGTGTGTGTGTGTGTGTGTGTGTGTGTGTGTGTGTGTGTGTGTGTGTGTGTCTGTGTGTGTGTCTGTGTGTGTCTGTGTGTGTGTCTCACCAACAGCTCCGTTCAGGTTTTGGAAGATTCGGGAACGGTGATCCAGAGTCATGTTGTACTTGGTCTGAAGACACAAATCAACATCAGCATCATCTGTTTGTTGTTGTTGTTGTTGTTTAAACAGTTAATTAGTTATTAATGGAAGTACTGAGGGTCTCTGGGTCATAATGAGTTAGATTAATGAGTTATTAGTCAGTTAGATTAATGAGTTATTAGTCAGTTAGATTAATGAGTTATTATTCAGTTAGATTAATGAGTTATTAATGAGTTATTAGTCAGTTAGATTAATGAGTTTACCCTCTGTATCTTGTCCAGGTAGATTCTGGTGTAGAAAAGCTGGTCGTCATCGTTGTCTTTGTACTTCCACTGCTGGACGATCGTACTGAGGTCTGAGGCGAAGCCGATGAACCCTGAACAGACAGACAGACAGACAGACAGACAGACAGGTTTTCAGTTCTGTGTCTGACATTGGCATCAAGTTGAAAAGCAGCTGCAGGCTAATGCTAAGCTACACTGTTCGTCTATGAAGTGCTGTGTGTGACGCTCAAGCAGACGATGGCGGAGAGTAAAATCTTAATATTTAATATTAAATAATTTATTTATATTTGTTACATTTTATCTTTATCTTCATGATTATTATATACAAACTTAGACTTATACTTGTCACATGACTTACAGGTAAATAAGAGTTTCTATAAACACAACATTACTTTAAATAAAACTAAATTATCTTCTTATTTCTTTCCACCAAACCAGAGTTGGTGATTGTTGGAAACACTAACAGAGACGCTTTAATCAGTTTGATTCTGTTTCTGTCCACTTTAATGAAGGTAAAATGAGTGTTTGTGTCTCTGGAGTCTGGTGGAGAGTGATAGTGATATTACGGCTGTTTGTGGTTAAACTAAAGGTCTCTCTCTGTAGGGATCCTTTCCATAATGCTGTCAGACACTGACAATAACAACAACATTTCATGGACACGCGTTGACGGCACAGGGATTAACAGCAGTTTACGTTGCCGCTCTCTGACTAACTCAGTGAATGAAGGTGTCCCCACATTACACTATAATAATGATCTGAACCCTGACGGTTGATTTCCTCTTACCTCCGGAGTTGAGGTAGCGTTTCCCAGCATGCACCTCTGGGTATTTGGAGGCCAGCCTCTGGTCGGGCCAGCAGAATCCCTCGGCTGAGAAAACCACTCTGTGACCCAGACGGGAAAACTTGGACAGCAGCTCCTCCGGACCGGATGCGAAGATCACGTCGTAGCTGCAGACAGAGACGGGACATGGTTGAGCTCGAGGTCAGTTAGAGTCCACAGAGCGTCCTGAGACTCTGAGTCCTCTCTACTTCCACTCTAACTGATCCCAGGACGTCTTCCTGTCCAGAGGTCTGTCATCAGTGTTACCCGATAATCAATATAAGTATTTGATGACTGATCCTGCACTCGGGGGCGTGTACTAATGCTGCGTCCAATCAAACGCTTTCTCTCTTGCTATTTAGCATTACTTTATGGCTACATTAGCTAGCTACTGTTCGACTGTGTGGCTGGTTATAGAGCTGCTCTATAGTACTCAGTGATTCTGGTGGAACTGGGTCAGGTTTTATGGAGGAAATATTTCCTGGTTTTCCCTCCTTGACGTCCTTTAACTCTGAGATTGAAGCTACTGTTCAGGTGATTCCTATCGCTACCGGCAACCAACCTTTGTTCTGTGTGTGTGTGTGTGTGTGTGTGTGTGTGTGTGTGTGTGTGGGCACAGGTGAGTCAGATTACTTATTGAGGACAGAACAACAAAGAGACAACGAAGAGACAACGAAGAGAACACGAGAACAAAGAGACGAGGAGAAGCACTAAAAAGGGAAAATACAAAGAGAAATGAGGACAGAGTTATATTACACACACACACACACACACACACACACACACACACACACACACACACACACACACAAACACACACACACACACACAAACACACAAAAGAATGTACAGCCTTAAACTGGTTTCATTCCTATTTGTCTAATGGAGTCTTTAATGTCTGCATTAATAATCATGTTTCCCCCGCTGTGTGGTGTCCCTCAGGGGTCGGTTCTTGGTCCGGTTCTGTCCTAATGCTCCTCTGGGTCATTAGTTCAGTCACGTTATGTGGATGATACACAGATCACTTTGGAAACCCAATAATCGAATCAACGTCCTCCCATGAGTGTTTAACGCCACCAAAGACGGATGTCTCTTATTTTCTCCACTTAAATCAAAAAGAAATCATTTTATTTGGCCCTGATAACTTGTCACTGCAGTTGATCAGTTTATTGGACCACTACGCACTAATATCAAACCCACTGCTCAGAATCTGGGTATCATCTTCGACCAGCATATGACATTTGACCTTTATGTCACAAAACTTGTCCAGTCCTGTTTCCTGCAGCTACGAAATATAGCAAAAATCAAAAGATTCCTGTCCTCCAGTGATCTGGAACAATTAATTCACAGCTTCATTTTCTCCTGTCTAGATTACTCTAACTCTCTCTACACGTGCCTCAGTCAGGCTTCCTTAAACCGATTACAGTTAGTCCAAAATGCAGCCGCCAGACTTTTAACCAGAACCAGCCGTTGGTCCCACATTACTCCTGTCCTTGCAGCCCTTCATTGGCTTCCTGTAAAATTCAGAATCAATAATAAGATCTTTCTGATTACATATAAGACACTTTATGACCTTGTTCCCAGTTACATTTCAGATCTCCTTGTTCCTCATTCCACTCCTCGGCCACTCCGCTCCTCAAATCTCTGCCTTTTATCTGTTCCACAACGGTAAAACTAAAGGTGACCTTTGCTGTTTTAGCTCCAACATTGTGGAACAGTCTTCCCCAATCACTCAGATTCACTGAATCTGTGGACTGTTTTAATCCTCTACAGGCCTTTTATAGATCTCCCTGTTTGTTTTGTCTTCTGTCGTGTCTCTTTTAATTTATCCCTTCCTCTTGTTCTATCTTCCTTTGTTGGTTTTTACATGCTCCATATGTTTGTGCTTGTGTGTGTAATGTTTTATTTGTTGTTTGGAAAGCACTTTGGATCTCTGTGTCAAAAAGGTGCTATATAAATAAAGTTTTACTTACTTACTTACTTACTTACACACACACACACACACACACACACACACACACACACACACACACACACACACACACACACAAAAAAACACACAAACACACAGACAGGTGGGTGTTACCTGTCCACAAACATGACGACCATGTCCTTCTTGTCAGAGTGTTTGAGCAGTTCCTTCTTCAACCATCTGACCTTCTGACCTCCGCCCACCGTCCGAGCCACGTCACCCCCCTTCCAGTCCTCCCCCAGACCCAGGACCTGCGCGCACACACACACACACACACACACACACACACACACACACACACACATCATCATCATCATCATCAGGTTGATTCCTCCAGTTCTCACCTGAAGCCACACGAACTAAGTGCAGTGTGAACGAGCTAACACACGAGCCAACGTTAACAGTCTGCAGATATCACACTGAACAAACAAACAAACAAACAAACAAACAAACAAACAAACAAACAAACCTGCACGTGAAGATAATATAAATAAATATCTGCTTTATTATTTTCCTGTTTCTCTGTTGTTGACTACATTTCCCATCAGCCCTGTCGGTCGGACCCACACTCACCCTGACGGTGTAGTTGAACTCTCGGGCCGTCCTCATGAAGCGGGTGAAGCCGTCGGTCTCCTCGGTTGCCGCGGTGATCACCAGCAGATTTTCTGCACACACACACACACAGACGAGGCGATCAGATAGCTAATCAATAACTGAATCCACAGGAAGCTGATCAGATAGCTAATCAATAACTGAATCCACAGGAAGCTGATCAGATAGCTAATCAATAACTGAATCCACAGGAAGCTGATCAGATAGCTAATCAATAACTGAATCCACAGGAAGCTGATCAGATCAATGACTTAAAAACTAAAAACTTTATACATTTTTATTTAAAATGTTTTGTAGTTAATAAGAGAAGTAATAGAGTAAAAGTATAAAGTATCATTAAATGGAAATACTCGATTACTACAACCCTCCAGGAGACTGACATTAACTCTCCCTCTCTCCCTGCCTCCCTCCCTCCCTCCCTCCCTCTCCTCTCCCTCTCCCTCTCTCTTCTCCCTCCCTCCCTCCCTCTCCTCCCCCCCCCTCCCTCCCTCTCTCCCTCCCTCCATCCAACCCAGCCTCTCTCTCTCCCCCCCTCTCTCTCTCTTTCCCTCTCTCCCTCTCTCCCTCCCTCCAGGCTGTCGAGGAATTTGGTGGGAGTGAAATTCCCTCAGAAATACCTCCGAGAGGTTAGCGAGGTGAGGAGCAGTTGAAGGGGATGAAGGGGGAGGCAGAAGGAGAGAGAGAGAGAGAGAGAGAGAGAGAGAGAGTGTGTATGGTGACAAAAGCCTCCTTGTGCTCGGTTTCTGCAGGTTTCCTTCAGTCACTAACGTGTGTGTGTGATAAAGAACACACTCATTGATCACTGATTACTGATCGCTGGATCAATATCTGAGAGCTGTGATGTAGCAACATGATGTAGATTAGCTGTAACGATGTAACAACACTCAACGTTGGATATTCGATACATGATTTTATTTGGATTGATCACAATGTGGATTGTTCCCACGTGGCTGTGAGTTTGTATACCATATAGTAAATAAAGGTATTGATTGTTGTACAGTAGCAGCGTCTGGAAGGATCAGATATTATGGGATATATTAGAGTTTAGGATCAATGTGAGGAAGTATCTGTAGTTACTTTCTGTTCAGTAGTGAAGATACAGGACAACTGTTTAGTGTCAGAGAGCGAACCCCCGCCAAACACACACACACACACACACACACACACACACACACACACACACACACAGCTGTCCACACAGACACACACACACAGACACAGACACAGACACACACACACACACACACACAGTAAATACACACAGCTGTCCCCACACACACACACACACACACACACACACACACACACACACACACACACACACACACACACACAGACACACACACACACACACACGCACACACGCACACACACACGCACACACACACACACAGTAAATACACACACACACACACACACACACACACACAGTAAACACACACAGCTGTCCACACGCCCACACCCACACACACACACACACACACACACACACATAAACACACACACACACACACACACACACACACACAGTAAACATGATGTACTAACAGGAAATGATGCTGTTGTCCCACTGGAAATAAAAGTGTATTTATTTATTTATTTATAGTTTTTCCTGTTGATTATTTATTGATGTTATATTTTATTGTTATGAGCTGTGTGAGCAGTGGGGATGCTCACTGTGTGGACGCTGTTTGACTCTAAAGTATCGCACTGAATGAACCACTGATGGTAAACACACACACATTATATTATTATATATATTATATTATATATATAATATATATATATATATATATTAATTATATGAATATATTATATTATATGTATTTAAGATCAGCTTTAAACTCTGGAAACTATATGAGGAGTGGAAGTGGAACAGGACACTTAAACACACAGTATGTACATTGATGACAGACTGCAGTACAGATGTGGGCAGTGATTCAGAGTCTGGAAAGTTCCCTGAGCTCTACCTCTGAACATGTGTCAGGGACTTCAAAGACCACAATGCACCAGACTACGGCTGCAAAATGAAGGATTTAACTGCAGCAAACACAGAAAACGTGATTAACACTGACTCCTTCTAACATAAATGAGTTTGTGTTAATGAAGGGGAGCACTACAATCCTCCGGCCGGATATCAGTTTATTATTCCTCACAAAGTTAGCACAGAAAATCAATTCAAATATTGATTATCAGCTGATCACTTTAGTGGAATATGTGCTGGACAGAGGCAGTTTAAAGACTTATTCACTTTGTTAACACCTTTAACGTTTTAAAAGAGCCCATTTTTAAACAATTAAACGTTAATAGAGAATATAAATTACACAATAATGAAAATAAACAGTCTTGAATTCTTGCTAATTAGCCTCCGGGCTGAAAGTTAGGTAAAGTTACAGTTAAAACTAGTTAAACTTTATAAACTCCAAACAACCACTGCTTATTAGTTAATATATGCAGCTTTCAGGTTAGTTACTGAGATTTAAATGTGAGTTAATCAGCAACAGTTAGCGAAGAGAGAGAGACCCAGAGCCAGGCAGCTCCAGCGGGTCAGGGTGGTCCGCCTGGCCGGGCAGGGGACCCTCCGGAGCGGCCTTACCTGCAGAGAGCCTCCGCTGTTCGGCAGACACGGAGCTCTGGAGGACGGCGAGAGCCAACAGGCAGAGAAGACGACATGAAAACATGGCTGCTGTATAAAATAACCCCCGTTCACGGCTCTGTTCTGACGGTGAACTCCTCTCTTTCTCCTCTCTTTCTCCTCTCTTCACTCCATCAGCTCTCCGCTCTCAAAGCTCGCTTCAAATCTCGCGATATCTTCCGCTCCAACAGATGTCAACAAGCCAGGGAAAAAAACTCCGCCCGCCCGTTCCGTCGGACTGTCAGCCAATCAGAAGCCAGAGAGTTTGATTGACGGGTGACACTGAGCAATCAGCGCGCCGGAGCGGCTCCGCAGCAGCCAATCAGAGGAGGACAGATGGAAAGGAGAGGGTTTCGGAGGTTTTTCTGCAGAAAGTTCGTGAAAGATGGAGAAAGTGAATCTTTGCCACGTCTGATGCATTCCTGAGAGAGAGAGAGAGAGACATAGGGACAGCATGGAGGGAGCGGGAGAGAGAGAGAGAGAGAGAGAGAGGGGGCGGAGCTGATGGACATTTCTTTCAATTCTTCATATATTTATATCTTTATATAATCATTATGACTTATTATATATATTATATCACTACTTTAATAATTAGTATTATTATTATTATTATTATTATTATTATTATTATTACAACTACAGAACCACACCGCTATCCAACTGTAACAAATACTGCTCATATTATTTTATTCATATTATTATATGTATCATTATTATTATTATTATTATTATTATTATTATTATTATTATTACATTATTTGAATATAAATGTAATAATCTTTCTTTAAGTTCGAACGAAGATACAAACTTTCATTTGTTTTCTATGATTTTTGATTGTTATTATTATTATTGTTGTTGTTGTTGTTATTTAATATAAATGTAATTATCTTGTTATACTGATCATAGAAAGTAGAATAACAACACATCTTTATAAAAGGAAATATAAAATAAAAACAAATAAATACATTTAAAAAACCCTAACCCACCTTACGTCAGAACAACACGTCCACGGCCCCGCCCCCTGACGCTTGTTGCCATAGTAACGGGACTCCGGCCGCAGACCGAGAGTTTGTCTGCTTTAATCCGGATAAAAACCGCGTTGTTGCGGGTTTAAACATGAGCTAACTGCGGGAGAGAGATGGAGAGACTGCGGTACTTCACTCCCAATGAGGTGGCTGCTCACAACACTGCGGCCGACCTGTGGGTGTCCTTCCTGGGCAAAGTGTGCGACCTGACCCCGCTGATAGAGCAGCACTCCGGTGAGTCACAGCTGCTGCTGGGGGGATGAATTAATAACTAATAACTCAGTTTAATGATTACTTTCTCCATTAATCCAGCAGATACAGACTGGTTTAGAACTCCACCCTACAACACACAAACCTTTTGCACTATTTATATTTAATTTCCTCTTTAGTAGTTTTAGTTTAGGTTTAATTTTTATAGTTTTAGTCAAGTTTAATTTTCTGCTCATATTTTGGACTCCATGTCCTACTTGAACAGCAAATAGTGTATATACTTTAATTTATAGTTCTAGATCTTCTAATATTAATAATATTAACAGTATTTCTACTGTGATATTCTTTGTTTTCTGTTTTTGTGCTGCTTTGCCCTTTTGATGCTGTGTCAACCTGAATTTCTCCTTAGGGGGATAAATAAAGGAATTATCTTATCGTATCTTATCTCATTGATTATGAAACTAGTGAGGCAAAATAAAAATAAAAAAAAGTTTCAGCTGTATATCCTGTATAAACTTATATATATATAATTTATAACAAACTCCTCATATATATGAACTATAATAATAATAAGGTGTGTGTGGTCTGCAGGCGACGCGCTGCTGTTACCCATCCTGGAGTGTGCAGGGAAAGACATCAGCTGCTGGTTCGACCCTGAAACTGAAGACGTGAGCGCTACTCCACCCAACCGACCAATCAGTGAGCAGCTCTGCTCCCGCCTCACCTGTCTGTCCTCTGTCCTCAGGTGCTGAAGTATGTGGATCCGCTGACTAACTGCGTGAGGTACTACACCCCCAGGGGGCGCTTCGTGCACGTTCCCCCCGCCGGCCCTCGCTCCGACTGGGACAGCGACATCGGCCGGCCCTGGTGGAGGGACGAGCGGTTCCAGGTGGGACTGCTGTCCGCCAAAACCAGGTGGATACGAGTCATCAACACGCTGACGTCACAGGAGCAGCAACTGCAGGTGAACTGTCATCACTCACCTGGACGCTAGTAGCTCCGCCCACCGCCCGACCGGTTTATACAACGACTCCCAGATATAAAACATTACTGTGATTGACATTTTAAACACAGTTTAGTCCACCAGGAACTGTTTCACTGAGGGAAAAACAAAATGTTGAAGCTGCTAAGAAGAAGAAGAAGAAGAAGATATACTTTATTGTTCTTTTTTATACACACACACACACAGGCTGAAATACACACTTCATGCACTGTGGACATGCAAGGGGAAGAGAGATGGTGGAGTGATGGTGCTGCAACATTACCAGCGCCCCATGAGCTGGTTTTGGGGTTAGGTTGCCTTGCTCAAGGGCACCTCGGCAGTGCACAGGAGGTGAAACTGGCACCTCTCCAGCTACCACACTCCATATTGTGGCCTGTGGGATTTGAACCGGCGACCCTCCGGTTCCCTACACACTGAGCTAGTTAGAAGTTAAAATTCCCATAACGTTAGCCTGTTCCTTCCTCAGGTGTGTTCGGAGGAGACTCTGGCGGAGATCCTCCAGCGTTACCTGGACTACAACTCCCACGCCTGCAGTTACACCTGGAAACACGGCGGAGCGACTCTGGACATGAGCAGGACGCTCGCAGAGAACGACGTCCTGGACGACGACCTCAAGCTCCAGCAGCTGCGACTGGACCGAGACCTCTTCACCCCCGCCATCCTCCTCCACTACAACGACGACCTCACCGAGGGCTGACCTCTGACCTCTGACCTCAACAGAGATTAGAGATCAGTTTGTCCACATTCAATAAAAAAATACCTTTTAAAATCTCTTCCTCAGTCATATTGTTCCCATAGTTAACAATGGATGCAAAACATAAAAACAATGACGTGTTTATGAAATATTGATAGAGTCTGGAGTTTTAATGGGGTGGAAGGAATAGATTACTTTATTCACATTATTGATTCAAGTATTGGAATATTAGTTTTAAAGCTCCAGTGTGTCACATTAATACAATATTCATATGTATATTTTCATTAGTGTTTAATCACCTTAAAATAAGAATCATTGTGTTTGTTAGCTTAGAGTGAGACGTCTTCATCTACAGAGGGAGCGGGTCCTCTTCTACAGATGTTTCTACAGTAGCCTTTAATACAGAGTCAGAGGTCCTTTAATATAGAGTCAGAGGTCCTTTAATACAGAGTCAGAGGTCCTTTAATACAGAGTCAGAGGTCCTTTAATACAGAGTCAGAGGCCTTAGAGTCAGAGGTCCTTAATATAGAGTCAGAGGTCCTTTAGAGTCAGAGGTCCTTAATACAGAGTCAGAGGTCCTTTAGAGTCAGAGGTCCTTTAATATAGAGTCAGAGGTCCTTTAATATAGAGTCAGAGGTCCTTTAGAGTCAGAGGTCCTTAATATAGAGTCAGAGGTCCTTTAGAGTCAGAGGTCCTTTAATACAGAGTCAGAGGTCCTTTAGAGTCAGAGGTCCTTTAATATAGAGTCAGAGGTCCTTTAATACAGAGTCAGAGGTCCTTTAGAGTCAGAGGTCCTTTAATACAGAGTCAGAGGTCCTTTAATATAGAGTCAGAGGTCCTTTAATATAGAGTCAGAGGTCCTTTAATACAGAGTCAGAGGTCCTTTAATACAGAGTCAGAGGTCCTTTAATACAGAGTCAGAGGTCCTTTAATACAGAGTCAGAGGTCCTTTAATATAGAGTCAGAGGTCCTTTAATACAGAGTCAGAGGTCCTTTAGAGTCAGAGGTCCTTTAATACAGAGTCAGAGGTCCTTTAGAGTCAGAGGTCCTTTAATATAGAGTCAGAGGTCCTCGCCACTGACTTTAGACTAGGTTTTTCCTGGTCTGTGGTGGAATTGTTTTCTGAAACAGCAAAATAGCACCAGGGAACGTTTGCACCGGAACACGCCTCCTCTTTTCGTTGAACCGCCCCCCGGAGCACAAGTTCATTCCCTAATTTAAGGACGTGCATCGGTGGAGGGAAAATTCCAATGTGCGTCGAGTGCAAAATAGGAATTATACAAGCGCCAGTGTACAAAGTCAATTGTGCTGAGTGCAAGATAGAGCCCTAAAAGTAATTCTGTTATTGCAAGTTTTACATTTCAATAATATTTTGCCATTTTCACCTATTTCAATTTCAACAAGTGCTGTGGCGTTTGTCTCGAGCCACCAGGGGCCTCCAGTAGTCACCAGGGTCCACCAGGGTCCACCAGGGCCCACCAGGGTTCACCAGGGGCCTCCAGGGCCCACCAGGGGCAACCAGGGGCCTCCAGGGGCAACCAGGGGCAGGCTAGTGTTATTGTTAGCTACATTAGCCTATTTAGCAAACCAGCTCGAAAACAAAACTTTACATTGTATTGCAGCACAGCAACACCGTGCAATGCATAAACTGATGACCGGACTAAAGCAGCAAAGTAAACCAAAAAAAATCGACATTAAAACGACCAACATAGTACAAATACAAAGAAAATACATCTTAATATGGGCGCTGCCATCTTTGTTTTGCGAGTTGTACGTTCCCTCCGTTCAGCTCGGTGAACTGTGAGGAGCCCCGAGTGGGACGGCTGATATTACGACCAAAAGGGGGCGTGTCTCGGTGAAATGAGTTTAAGTTTAAGAGACAAATGGAACGCAGCATTAAAGCTCGTTCACAGTTTGTTTACTGCGATCGTTGGTTTGAGGAAGCGGCGACTGAAGATCAGTTTGTCTTCCGGAACAATGAGTCAGAATAAAAAGGGAAGCTGTGAAACCTGACGTCTGCGAATCTCAGCCGGATTTGGAGGAATAAATGAAATGTTATGAAATTCAGAAACGTTTGTAAAGTGATGAGTGGACAGTTTGTACGAGGGAGGAGGAAGCACAGGGATAGCAATCTCCTCCTCTTCCTCCTCCTGTGTGGGACTGTTTCTGCAGAGACATCAACGAGGTGAGTGAGTGTGTGTGAGATATAGTTCTTATAAAGTTATATTGTTATATATTTATAAAGTTATATTGTTATATATTTATAAAGTTATTATATATTTATAAAGTTATTATATATTTATAAAGTTATTATATATTTATAAAGTTATATTGTTATATATTTATAAAGTTATATTGTTATATATTTATAAAGTTATTATATATTTATAAAGTTATAACGTTATATTGTTATATATTTATAAAGTTATATTATTATATATTTATAAAGTTATAATGTCATTAGATTAGATTGTGAAGAGATGTCGGACGCTGTCACTGTAATCTTTAAATCCAATGATGATGAGATAATAAATGTTATCTTCACTGATTGTTATTCATATTATTCATATTATTATTATTATTATTTTGATATGAAAGTAATTTTTCAGTGTTTGTTATTTTCACTTGTTTTCTGTTTAATGTTTAACTTTAAAGTCTGTCCAGTTATTATAATTAGTTTCACCTACAGTGTCTCTAATGTCTCTCTCTGTTGGATGAGTGAATATCAGAAGCAGCTCTGGAGCTATTGATCGAATCTCTCCACAGATGGTTTATTGTTATTGATCAGTTCCCTCCAAGATTCTGCCTTAAAAGGTCAAATTCGGAAAAAAGATGCATTTCTAAAACATTGTGATTCAGGTTGAGATGTTTTTATTTTCACTGAAATTACAGAAGAAAGTAAAAATGTTGCTCATGTTCACACAGAACATCAGAGAGTCCCTGCAGGTCTGCAGCAGTTATATATATTAGATTTTATATATTATATATTATATATTAAATATAAAATATTATTATAAATAACATTACTGCTGGTAATGTAAGATGTTCATGATTTCATCAGCACAACTAAAACCAGGAAGTGAGTTGGTGATGGATGTCTCAACAATGATTGGTCAAATCTGAGGAAAAGTTGTTGTGGTCGCACACACACACACTCACACACACACACACACACACACACACACACACACACAAACACACACACACACACACACACACTCACACACACACACACACACATACACACACACACACACACACACACACACACACACTTTGTGGGAGCTTTCTGTCCTCCTCCTGTTGAATATCTCCGTCTGTAGAATATCTCCGTCTATATATATATAGATATATAGATATATATATAGATATATATAGATGTATATAGATATATATAGATATATATATAGATGTATATATAAGATATATATATATATATATATATATATATATATATATAGATGTATAGATATATAAAGATATATATCTTATATGAGATAAACTCTGAACTATGAGAAAGTATCTGGTAGGATCAGGATGTCGTAATCATGAGGATATATGTTGTAATGTTCATGCAGTCTGTTTTAAGATCTGTGTGACTGCTGACTGATGAAGACTGTGAGACTGATGAAGACTGTGACTGCAGACTAATGAAGACTGTGACTGCTGACTGATGAAGACTGTGAGACTGATGAAGACTGAGACTGTAGACTGATGAAGACTGTGAGACTGATGAAGACTGTGACTGCAGACTGATGAAGACTGTGAGACTGATGAAGGCTGTGAGACTGATGAAGACTGTGACTGCAGACTGATGAAGACTGTGAGACTGATGAAGACTGTGACTGCAGACTGATGAAGACGTTAGACTTTGAGTTAATCAGATCTGTCTCCAACAGGAGGAGAGACATCGTCATGATGACAGACTTCCCTTATGAGAAACAAACAGACGGAGACTCACTGTGGACCAAAGGTACCTGTCTGTCTGTCTTTCTGTCTGTCTGTCTGTCTGTCTGTCTGTCTCTCTCTCTGTGGTTACGTGAGAAATAGTCCAGTTGTTGAATCTTCTGACTTTACACCTCACAGTCCGTTCTCATTCCCAGGTCCTCAAATACAGACGCGAGTGGTGTTCAGTTACTGCAATCTGCAACTTCACCACTAGATGTCACTAAATCTTTAAAGTACATTGATGATAGTTTTATTTCTTTGGGCTATTTTACACAGAAATATATAGAATTATTTACATTTTAGAATCTAAACGTACAGATTGTTTATTTATTTAAATAATATATATAATATCATATTGTTTCCTCTTTATTTTATATTGTTTTAGTTTCTTTAAGCAAATTCCTGATAAAACGATTCTGACTCTGACTTGATATTCTCTTTATATTGTCTACAAACTGTCCCTCTCTCTCTCTCTACCTGTCTGTCTGTCTGCCTGCCTGTCTGTCTGTCTCTCTCTCTCTCTCTCTCTCTCTACCTGTCTGTCTGTCTGTCTTTCAGACCCTCCTGTCTTTCTCTCAGGATTCTCCAGGTTCAGACGCTGGTTGCTTCCTGCTGTCACAGCTGTAGTCGCTGCAGTTGCCCTGATCCTGATCATAGTGCTGGCAGTCAGCAGTGAGCGCACACACACACACACACACACACACACACACACACACACACACACACACACACACACACACACACACAAAGATGGACATCTCCACTTCCTGAAAATAATAAACATCAGGATACGAGTCGAGTCGTGAACAGAGTTGACGCCCTTTTTATATCTTAAATAACGAATTAAAACTAAATAAAATGAACACACAGAGTTCAGCATCTGAAAATGATTTAAAAGTCATAAATGAATGTGTGTGTGTGTGTGTGTGTGTGTGTGTGTGTGTGTGTGTGTGTGTGTGTGTGTGTGTGTGTGTGTGTGATCAGATGTGAAGACGTCGAACCGTTTTTCCTCTATGGAGCAGTCCCTGAACGCCTCGATGCAGCAGGCCCAAGGTAACACAAACACAACAACCAGAGAGTGAACAGGTTGTAGTGGAGCTTTGTCCCTCTGCTGTCCAACACAGAGTCCAACACAGAGTCCACAACACAGAGTCCACAACACAGAGTCCAACACAGAGTCCAACACAGAGTCCACAACACAGAGTCCACAACACAGAGTCCACACACACAGAGTCCAACACAGAGTCCACAACACAGAGTCCAACACAGAGTCCACAACACAGAGTCCACAACACAGAGTCCAACACAGATCCACAACACAGAGTCCACAACAGAGTCCACAACACAGAGTCCACAACACAGAGTCCACAACACAGAGTCCACAACACAGAGTCCAACACAGAGTCCACAACACAGAGTCCACAACACAGAGTCCACAACAGATCCACAACACAGAGTCCACCACACAGAGTCCACAACAAAGTCCAACACACAGAGTCCACCACACAGAGTCCACAACACAGAGTCCACAACAGAGTCCACAACACAGAGTCCAACACAGAGTCCACAACACAGAGTCCAACACAGAGTCCACAACACAGAGTCCAACACAGAGTCCAACACAGAGTCCACAACACAGAGTCCAACACACAGTCCACAACACAGAGTCCACAACACAGAGTCCACCACACAGAGTCCACAACACAGAGTCCAACACAGAGTCCACAACACAGAGTCCAACAACACAGAGTCCACCACACAGAGTCCACAAGTCCAAACAGAGTCCAACACAGAGTCCACAACACAGAGTCCACAACACAGAGTCCAACACAGAGTCCACAACACAGAGTCCACAACACAAACACAGAGTCCACAACACAGAGTCCACAACACAGAGTCCACAACACAGAGTCCAACACAGAGTCCACAACACAGAGTCCAAGAGTCCACAACAAGTCCACAACACAGAGTCCACAACACAGAGTCCACAACACAGAGTCCACCACACAGAGTCCAAACACAGACCAACACAGAGTCCAACACAGAGTCCACAACACAGAGTCCAACACAGATCCAACACAGAGTCCACCACACAGAGTCCACAACACAGAGTCCACAACACAGAGTCCACCACACAGAGTCCACAACACAGAGTCCACCACACAGAGTCCACAACACAGAGTCCAACACAGAGTCCACAACACAGAGTCCACAACACAGAGTCCACAACACAGAGTCCAACACAGAGTCCACAACACAGAGTCCACAACAGAGTCCAACACAAGCACAGAGTCCACAACACAGAGTCCAACACAGAGTCCAAAAGAGTCAAAGCTAACATTAATGCTAACACAGAGTGGAACATAGTGTCTAACAAGATTGTAAACAGAGTTAGCTAAAGAGTCAACACAGAGTCACAACACAGAGTCCAACCAGAGTCCAACAAGTCCACAACACAGAGCAAAACCAAAATCAACAACTGTCTGTTAGCTGGATAACGTTAGCTTGCTTGCTAACGTTATGATGCTAACTTATATATTCTGATTTTAGCCAACAATAAATAATGCTAACAGTACAAAGCTAACGCTAGCCAGTGGAGCGAGGCAGAGGCATCCAGCTAGCTAACTGTAGCTAAGCTAACTGGGGTTAGCTGTGTCTTGGCGTCGCGGTGTGGGTCTGGCGTCGGTTGCTTCAGGGTGTTGGCTGACGGGCTGACCTGTAAACAACGAGCTAGTTAGTAGCATGGAGCTAATGGTCCAAATAACATTGCGGATACTAACGTTATTTTCCGGGTACGTTTGTTGGCGGCGCTGTTAACGAGGAGATTTAAGGATTAACAGATAAAATGTGGATTTACTCAACATGCTAATATGCTAAATACTTCCTGTGTCTCTTTCCAGAAACAGCTAAAGCGGTTGAGCTGCTGCAGGTTGCTGTGGATAACAGCAACAACCAGCTGAACACGGGTCAGTCTTTACCCGCATTAAGTACCAGGATGAGGCAGTAATTATTGATCCATAATGACGCTGTATTAATGTGTGTGTGTGATTTCAGTGGCGGAGGCCATGAAGCATCTGTCCGTCGTGGATTCTCTCAGCAGGACCGTCGCTTCACTCAAATGTTACCTCGAACGCATCATCAACAACAGTACACACACACACACACAGTGGTACATTCACAGTCCACATTTACACACAGACAGACCCTCTCACTGTCTGTCTGTCTGTCTGTCTGTCTCTCAGGCTCAGTGAGGGACGGCTGCTGTCCGGTGGGTTGGGCGCAGTATGAGTCGGACTGTTATTATTTCAGCACCACGGTTCTGTCCTGGAACGACTCCAGAGTCTGGTGTGAGAAAAACGAAGGTCACTTGGTCATCCTGCTCACGGACAAGGCATGGGTGAGACAGCCTGTCTGTCTGTCTGTCTGTCTGTCTGTCTGTCTGTGATGTAGTTCTTGGTCCCCAGAGGATGAAACTCCTCCAGCGCCACCAACAGGTTGAAGAGTCCTCAAACACTAACGATGGATCAGTCAAACTTTCTTTACTCAAGTAAAAGTGTAAAAGTATTCTCTTGGTTTCTCTGAAGGACATTTCTACTGTACTGAAAATAAAATGGTCTGTCTGTTCAGAACTTTGTGACCCGCCATACAAATTCTCAACTCTTCTGGATCGGTCTGTCGAACTGGAGGAGTAGACAGTGGGAGTGGGTCAACGGGAACCAGTACAGGATGGACCGCAGGTACGAGCTCTGATGACTGCGTTTCTAAAAGCAGAAGTCGATTTATGGAAGTAGAACTTAAATTACTTTACTTAATTTAACTTCCTGGTTTCCAGGCGCTGGTTGCCCGGGCAGCCTGACGGCTGGAGAAGTCACGGCCCCAGATATCAAGACTGCGCTCACCTTGACAGCATCGGACGCCTCAACGACGTGTACTGTGACACCAAGATGCGCTACATCTGCCAGAAACACAGCCAGCGCATCTGAGTGAAAACCAAACCGCCACAGAGTGTTCGGATCTCCTACGGACAGCAAACACATCGTAGATTGAATCACAGATAAATAATGATGAACACAAATTACTGTTTGTCCAATAAAATCTCTCAGTAGGAACTACGAATGTTCTTCACACTTCAGCTTCTTTTAATGCCAACTGCACTTTCAACCTCAGCTGTCTCACAAATATACTTCAACTGCTCCGAAGAATCAACAGTTTAAGACTTTAAATCAAAAAACATTCTGAGATTTTGGCCTATTTTGCTTCCATATATCTGCTTTCAGACTAGTGGAAGGAAAACATCCAAAATATAAATGTATTTACTTCATGTTGTGTGTTTAATAACTGTCATAATAAGAATAATCAACTGGGGAAGTTTCACATTAATATCTGTTGGTTCCATGTTGAGTCTGTCCACCTGCACTGAAGGTTTCATACAACTGAACCAGGAACAACAGAAACTGTAAAGCTGACTCTTAAAAATACAGTTTTGTCTTTTTAATGTTTAATTAAAGATATTTACACTGTAAAAACAATGAAACTACCTATAAATACAGACGAACACTGCTATAATACAAATACATTTCCAGCAGAGTGCTGTTATTATTGGATTGTTATTATTTTAATGTGAATGTTAAAAGTTATAGAACTGTAATAAAAGTCATTATCTGTGAGATTACAGTAATTATTGCTGTTTACACTGATAACAACTGTATTTGGACAGTTTACCTTATACACTGATAAACAACATTTATTCAACTTCCATCATTATACAACATATCTGTCAGTTAACTAACTAATACATTAAAGTTACTACTACTACTTAATTGTCTCACATTTTACATAAGTGTAAGTGTATTAATGATTAATGAAATTACCAGTTCTATGTTCACTCTATTAAATAAACAGCAAATATCTGTGAAAAAATATATTTAGTATTTTAACTTTTTATTTAAACATATATTTTTCATTTTCTTTAAATAAGCAGTTATTTTATCATTATTTAACGCGACAATAACATTTTTCACATTATTTTACATTCGACACGTAAATTCACAGGATATTTTCTTAATTTTATTACATGAATTTAAAAAATACAGAAATAATCTAATAAACAGGAAACCCCTTTAAATGTACAGATTGTTTGACAGTGGATAATCTGAAGGCTTTTACAACTTTTACAACAGACGTGTTTTCTGATTTCTGTTCTTGGAATATATGAAAATTAGTTAACTAGTTAATTATATAAAACCTAATTTACATATTTAAACATTATAGAAAAATAATACGGAAAATAATTGTGTAAGTAAACAACTGGGGAAGTTTCATCTGTTATCTGTTAGTTTGTCCTTCCTGGTTGTTGGTAGGACAGAGTGACATCAGCACACACACACACACACACACACACACACACACACACACACACACACAAAAAAAAAACACACACACAAAACACACACACACACACACACACACACTGTTTTCCAGTTCAAAGTGCGTTTCAGTGTGTGTGTGTGTTTCAGTGTTTCGGTGGTCAGTGACCCCTCGGCTCAGTCAGTCAGTCTGTCTGTGAGTCGTCACCGCGAGGAAGAAGAGGAATAAGAAGAAGAAGGAGCAGAAGAAGAAGAGAGCGGGCCATCGCCATGACGACAGAATACCACGACAATGCTGAAGATGACAGCAGCTCCTTCTGGAACAAAGGTACCTGTCTGTCTCTACAGCTGCCTGTCTCTACAGCTGTCTGTGGCTGAGCACACTCTCTAAACCTGTCTGTCTGTCTGTCTGTCTGTCTGTCTGTCAGAGCCTGCTCATGTCTCTTTCTCAGGAGTCTCCAGATTCAGACGCTGGTTGTATCCTGGTCTCACTGCGACGGTCATCCTGATCCTGATCATAGCGCTGGGAGCCAGCAGTGAGTACACACACACACACACACACACACACACACACACACACACACACACACACACACACACACACAGAGTCTCTCTCACACTTTATATAATATAAACTTCATTGAATGAACTGCTGGGGGTGTGATGGAGGTGGATGACAGCAGGTACTTCCTCCGCTGTTTCTCATGTTAAAATGTCAGCTGATGACAACAACAAACCACAAAATAACAACAGACTATTATTGGCAGTTCCTCACAGACACAGACTCTCCCAGAAGCAGCTCATACGTTTGTTGTTGTTTTGTTGTTTATTTGTGCGCAGACACGAGGACGTGGAACAGACTGTGGTCAGTGGAGAACAATGTTTCCAACCTGACGGAGTCACTGAGCGCCGTACAGCAGCTCACCAAAGGTACCACACCCGTCTGCTCCTTCATAACACACTTTATTATTGTTGTTGTTGTTGTTGTTGTTGTTGTTGTAACAGACTCCTGGGTTCCTCTTCCTGTCTCAGACGCAGCTAAAGAAATTCACCGGCTGAAGTTCGCTGTAGAGAGCAACAAGGACCAGCTGAGCTCAGGTGTCTGATCACTACCTCAACCAGATTACTAATCAATAATAACAATAATAACAATAATAACAATAACTGTGTTACTTTCACACTGTGTGTTCAGTGTCGGAGGCGTTGAAGCAGCTGTCGGCTCTGGACTCCATCAGCAGGACCGTCGCTACGCTCAAATGTTCCCTCGAACGCTACATCAACAACGGTAGAGCAATGTTTGTTTAACAGTGTGACAGTTATTGTTTCATCCACAAGAGGGCGCTCGGCTCACTGATATAGTTCATTTAGAAATTTCAGACAATAAAATAACCTTTTATACTTCAAACTGAGTTCACTAAAGAATTTAAACTGTGTTGGAGTTACATTTCTTTAAACTTTACATTAACCTCAACAGAAGGTTCTCCTGAGCAACCTGAGCTCATCTACACACATTATGTCTGACTGCAGGAACCAAACTCTAAAGATGGGAACGTGCTTTCTGAACGTCTCTGGTTACAAATATATCTGTGGTAGAAATCTGGTAACAGACAACTGTGTCTTCCTCCCTGCTAACCTGTCAGTCTCTCTCTCTCAGGCTCAACAGCTGACGGCTGCTGTCCTCTGAACTGGAATAATTTTGGCACCAGCTGTTATTTTTTCAGTAAGACGCCTTTGACCTGGGACGACGCCAGAGACTGGTGCAACGGACACGAATCCCACCTGGTCATTCTCACCACCGACGACGAGTGGGTGAGGAGCCGAATCTATATCCAGAGGGAACAGCAGAGGACCCAGGGTTGAGCCCTGTGGGACACCGTTACCCACATTTTAAAGGCTTTATTATTAAAAATCCTCTGTCTGTCTGTCTGGTTCAGGACTTTGTGACCGGTCATACCTCGGGCGCCTTCTACTGGGTGGGACTGACTGATGAGAGGACAGGGAAGTGGGAGTGGGTCAACCAGACACCGTACGTCATGAACCGGAGGTGAGCTGTTTCCTGTCTGATATCAGTTTGTACAAACGCGAAAAACACTGCGAGGGGGCTGCGTTTGGTTTAATGCTACAGGTACAGATGTTCGGAAGACAAAATGCAGACAATACTACAAGTAATAATATGCTAATAGACTGAGGCTAAAGCTAAAGCCATGTTATATCTGGTGTTTTCAGGCGGTGGAAACCCGGTCAGCCTGACAGTTGGACCGGTCACGGTCTCGGCCCCGGTGATGAAGACTGCGCTCATCTTCACAATGACGGACGCCTCAACGACCTGCACTGCTCCAGCAGGATGCGCTACATCTGCCAGAAACACAGCCAGCGCAGTTAAACAGGCTCCGCCCACTGTCACCTGAACAATGATCTGATCCCAGCACAGCAGACTGATCAGTTCCTGCTCGTCTCCTGTCCAGTTTATTGATCATCTGTATTCTGTACCACAGAGCTCTTTGTTCAAACTATTAAAACTCATCAATCAGACAAACAGATATAAAATATGATTGGCTCATATTTTTTTCATTCATTCTCTTGTTGTCTGAAAAAAAAAAACATAGCATAACTAAGTATAGGAAAGGATGAAAGAGGTGTAGCTTAGCCAGCTGGTTAGCACTGTTAATAATCCTGTTATTATTCAATAGGAACTAAAGAGTGAGATTTATTTCTCCTTTAAACACAAAGTTGTTCCCAAACTTCTTGTCTTCTTTTTCCAGTCTGCTTATAAGTACATCAAATGAGATCTCCTTGTCACCGGGACGAAAGCATCAGAAGATTGTTTTCTTTTCTGTCGTTACCGGTGCATTGTTGCATCTGCTAACTATACTAGCAGCTTCCATTAGCTAGTTAGCATTCCTATTAGCTTTTGGTTTCCTCAGATGTTTTGAACTTACCGCCTGTAGCCTTCACTTTGACCCATACTGTCATACCTGAATTTAAGACTTGTCTTATCTCTCAGTCAACATCTTAGGATTCTACTAAAGCTAACTAAAACTAATCAATCTGGTTAGTTTACAACTGTGTCTTACTTTAAAGTCCAATCATCACTGAATCTTTTCGAGACAAACTACTTGTTTTTCCATAACCATAACAGATCCTCTCTTCATCTCTGAGTCTGGACAAGTGGCTTCTTGATTCTGGTTTTGCCACGTACTCTCCTTGTCCAGCATTCCTTCCGTCAATTACTTTGGTCACTCCTTCAGGATCAGGACTGCCACCTCTGCCTCCTATAGACTGGACTGGTGTGAGGAAGGCTTGGGTCCATTTAACTAACTACACCATATTTTACGGGTCATTCAATAATGAACAGTCTGCGTCCTCAGGCTCAAAGAGATAAATAGATGCTATTAGATGGTTGTTCATGTATTCAGGTGTAGTGAATGCATCATGTTCTCTCATCCTGATGTGTAGTTTGATAGCGTGCAGACACACACAGAGTTTCAGCCTCTTTCTGACCACAGCTCAGTGGTTAAAACTGAGAGAAGCTGTCAGGCACACAGCTACAAAATCAGCTCCTGTTCACTTCCTCCAACTGAACTGTTGTTTACCTGCACAGAGATCCAGCTTTTACTCTGAAATTCATCATGAAGTCATTTTATAGTGAAAGTGGAATCTTAATCTCTAAAAAGCAGTTTAACTGTCAGTGAACGCATCACATCCCTGTTCTTATTTACATTCTGTGTCAGGTGTTGCTTTATTTTTCATCTCAGAGTTTCATTTTGTTTTCTGACTCTTTTCACTTCCTGTTATGGTTCAGCTCTTTTTAAAAGTGAATTTATCTGCTTTATTCTAACTAAATGACTCAACTTGCTCACCTTCAGTATGAGAGGAAACCACAACACTGCCAGTCACAGGAAGGAGGAGGGTTTTACTTGATGTGACTGTGAACTGATCAAAGTATAGATCTCATATAACAAGTGTTAGGATGGAGGGAACATCTCTACTGTGGCTGCTCTGTAAGTACACTAAAAACATCAGCTTAGAGAAATACAACCAGGAGAAATCCATAGTTTTTACGACACTTTGATGTCAGTCTGTCTCAGAAATGCTCCTGTAACATTAACATCTGTTTATCTGAAAGGTTGTGAAATTGCTTTTAAAGCAAATTCTTATTGTGTTCTTTTTCATGCACTGTTATTGTTGACTTTTCCTTTGTAAATAGAAGCATAATCTTCTTACAGTGTATGAAATGTAATATTTCTCTCTGTGTTCATTTGTTCCTTTATCAATGTTTTTAAGAACTAGTATTTAAGAACATTTATCAATACTTATAATATATACTTCGTGTTTGTTATTAGGTAACATCAGTGGGCCCTCGACCACACGTAATGAAATATGTACAAAAGCCAACTTGTGTTTGTGCTGTGAATAATGCAAATTAAAAAACAACTTACTTTTGTTTTGCTTTTTGTTCTCTGAGATTTTGATGCCCTTGTAGTGGTGTGGTAAATGTGTGGCTTCCTCGCTGTCTGTCTCTCCTCTGTGGTGGCTGAGCGGAGCAGAGAGTTGACGACGGCTGCACTGTGCATGAAAGCTTTGCCAGTAAAAACACCAGTGTGACAGCTGACTTAAAGCATCAGATCTGGCTCAATATAGCTGATACTGAATACTTAAAAAATTAATTGATTGGCACCAATACTGAACTCTGAGAATAGATCGTGACATACCGACGTGTCTGGAGGGGACTTTCAACATCAAACACAATCAAAGATAAGAAAACATTAATATATGAGTAGGGTTGCAAAGGGGTGGACATTTTCCGGTAAATTTCCGGAAACTTTCCAACAACTCTCCATGGAAAGATAAGCTGGGGAATTTGGAAACATTCCAATTTGGAATTATGGGAATTAATGGGAATTAATGGGAATTTAGGAGAATTAACTGGAAAAGTTGGGTAATTCATACAAACTCCATCTCATACAAACATACAGTAAATATAAACATTTCTGCGCCTATATTGAGATATATATTTTCTTTGTATTTGACTACGTTGGTAGTTTTAATGTCAATTTTAAATGCTCTTACACACTGTTTACATTGCTGCTTTAGTCCGGTCACCAGTTTATGCATTGCACGGTGTTGCTGTGCTGCAATACAATGTAAAGTTTTGTTTTCGAGCTGGTTTGCTAAATAGGCTAATGTAGCTAACAATAACACTAGCCTGCCCCTGGTGGCCCCTGGTGGCCCCTGGTGGCCCCTGGTGGCCCCTGGAGGCCCCTGGTGGCCCCTGGTGGCTCCTGGTGGCTCGAGAAAAAATGGGCAAAATATTACTGAAATATAAGACTTGCAATAACGGAATTACTTGAAATGTTAGTGTTTCTGTAGAAAAACATTATTATTTCACATTGAACTTGTTTAGATGATCCACAATCAATAACAACAAAGCTGCTGCACTGGTGGCGTCCATGTTCTTTCAGACTCGTAATGCCCAAAGAAAAATGGAACGCTATAAGTGGTACAAGCCGGGTAATTACGTCACGTTCTCGCGTCAGAGCAACTCCGGCGGGGGATTTATGAGACAAATGGATCGCAACATAAGTAGTAGCCCAAACCATTGACCTTTAGCTTAACATATGATGGTAGCCAGCATGCTGCCTTTGATTTACTATGGCTATGGTTATGGTTATGGTTATATGTGTACAATACAATTAACCCAAATAGGTTAATAGCAATGGGTTATGTATCTCCCCCCCCCCAAACAAAAGAAAAAAACTCCCATATTTTAAAAAATAAATGTTGGCAAGTATGTAGTAGCCTATGCTGATTACTGCGTGTGTGCATGTCATTGATGAATATAGGGAGAACATTCAACTAGAGTTGCATTAAATCAGGTTGTTTTAAGCAAGATTATCCTGCAAGATGTTTCTTTTCAACTACATGTAAGTTCTCTGTTATAGACTAAGAGTATTATAACAAGCAGTATTAAAAATATCCAGTTTATTCCCATTAATTCCCATATATTCCCGTTAATTCCCATGAAAAGTTTCTAACTTTGAAAATTCCCAAAATTTTGCAACCCTACATATGAGGCCCAATATGTGTGTGCTGCTCTCTTGTTGTATAACAGCCTCAAACCAACCAGAGTGTCATTTCTCTTTAGTTCTGACCTCACTGCTGAGCTGCACCACAAACCAAGGTTAGTGAACTTCTATCAGTCTGAAACTCTCTTTTCTTCCAGCAAGATTAGTATTGGTGACAGAGATACACAGCAGTAATAGTAGTGAAAAAAACAACAAAAATAGAAGAAATATGATGAATAATTATAAGATATTGATGACAAGGATGATAACAACCATAACACTGATGATTATGATGATGATAAAAAGAATTAGCAGTGGATGTCAAGCAGGATGAGAAAGCACAAGAACTCCGGGGAAGAAGTGAAGTTAGTAACATGCATTAATGGGACATGAATGAGTGCATAAAGAGAGAGGAAGAGAGGAGCTCAGTGCATCATGGGAAATCCCCGATAGTCTAGGCCTATAGCACATAACTAAGGGATGGTTCAGGACTCACCTGATCCAGCCCTAACTATAAGCTTTATCAAAGAGGAATGTCTTAAGCCTACTCTAAATGGGAGAGGGGTCTGCCTCCAGAACCACAACTGGAAGCTGGTTCCACAGGAGAGGAGCTGGTAACTGAAGGCTCTGGCTCCTGTTCTACTTTTAGAGACTATAGGAACCACAAGTAGCCCAGCATTCAGAGAACGTAGTGTTCTAGAGGGGTAATAGGGTACTATGAGCTCTTTAAGATATGAAGGGGCCTGACCATGAAGAGCTTTATAGGTGAGGAGGAGGGTTTTAAATTCTATTCTACATTTTACAGGGAGCCAATGCAGAGTAGCTAGTACAGGAGAGATGTGATCTCTTTTTCTAGTTCCTGTCAGTACTCGTCCTGCAGCGTTCTGAATTAATTGGAGCGTTTTAATGGACTTATTGGGGCAACCTGATAATAAAGAGTTGCAGTAATCCAGAGTTGAAGTAACAAATGCATGGATTCGTTTTTCTGCATCTGTCTGTGATAGGATGTGTCTAATTTTTCTAATATTACGTAAATGAAAGAAGGCGGTCCTAGAGGTCTGCTTTATGTGGGAGTTAAATGACAAATCCTGATCAAAGATAACTCCAAGATTCCTGACAGTGGTGCTAGAGGCCAAGTTAATGCCATCTAGAGTAACTATATCTTTAGACAGTGAGTCTCTAAGGTTTTTGGGGCCAAGTACAAAAATTTAGTTTTTCGAGTTTAACATCAGAAAATTGCAGCTCATCCAGGATTTTATGTCCTTAAGACATGTTTGTAATTTAGATAATTGATTAATTTCATTGGGTTTGATCGATAGATATAACTGCGTATCATCTGCATAGCAATGAAAGTTAATGGAGTGATTCCTAATAATGTTGCCTAAGAGAAGCATATATAAAGTAAATAGTATTGGTCCAAGTACAGAACCTTGTGGAACTCCATGACTAACTGTAGTATTTATTGAAGATTCATCGTTAACATGTACAAACTGCGAACAATCTGATAAATATGACTCAAACCAGCTTAGTGCGGTTCCTTTAATGCCAATTTGATGCTCAAGTCTCTGTAAAAGAATATCATGGTCAATGGTGTCAAATGCAGCACTAAGATCTAATAATACAAGTACAGAGACAAGTCCATTGTCAGAAGCAGTCAGAAGGTCATTATTAACTTTAACCAGAGCTGTCTCTGTGCTATGATGAACTCTAAATCCTGACTGAAAATCCTCAAATAAACTATTGTTATGTAGAAAGTCACAGTGTTCAGTAACAGAGGCATTTTAGGGCCTTTAAGGAGATGTGTAGTTTGATTGAAAATGTAATGCATTATCAGTATATTTTTTAACATCCTCTTCCTCCAGCCTCTCTGACTGTGAGTCCCAGCAGCTCTCAGATGTTTGAAGGACAGTTTGTCTCTCTGAACTGTGAGGAGGACGACAGCTCTGCTGGATGGACTCTGAGGAGGAACACAACCAGAGAAATCAGGACTCAGTGTGGAAAAGACTGGGGAAGATCAGCTGGTTCTTCTTGTAACATCAGCCACATTGCCTCATGGCAAGGTGGAGTTTTCTGGTGTGAGTCCAGAGAGGGAGCAACCAGTAACCCCATCAACATCAGTGTCACTGGTAAGATCAGACTGTGGAGTTAGTGTTGATGAAGCTGTGTGTAAATGGATGAAATGCTGTAGTCTGTCTCTGTGTTGAGGTGGACCAGTGATCCTGCAGAGTCCTGTCCTCCCTGTGATGGAGGGAGATGATGTCTCTCTGCACTGTAAAACAAAGACCCCTCCCTCCAACCTCACAGCTGCTTTCTATAAAGATGGCTCCCTCATCAGGACTGAGCCTACAGGTCACATGACCATCCACCATGTTTCCAGGTCTGATGAAGGCCTCTACAAGTGTCACATTGGCAGTCATGGAGAGTCTCCACCCAGCTGGATCACTGTCACAGGTGAAGAGGTTACCTTTGATTTCAGGACTTATTTCATCCAGATATTCACCTGACCAGGTGGGATTCTCTCTGCAGGTAAACCTACAACCACAGCCCCACCCACCTCTGCAGCCCCACCCACTGCCTCCAACTCCCTCCAGTTTGTGTTCAGATTGCTCTACCACCTAGTGATGTTCTGTCCGTACTGCATCTCCACTGTCCTCATGGTGTCTTTGTATCGACAGAGGTCCACAGGTAAAACTAATCAATCAATCAATCAATCAATCAATCAATCAGTCTGGTGTTGATGATTGACAGCTGTCTCTAACAGAAGTTTATAAATGATCTATATTTTATTTCTAACCTGCTCTGACTGCAGGAAATAATCTGCCCGTCTCCATGGTGATGACCCCGCCCACCCAGGCTGAGCAGGGATTGGATGGTGACTATGATGATGTCATCGGTGATGTCACCACAGAGCATCACTTCTGAACTGATCCGATGTGTTCAATGTGTTCTTAAATGAAGCTAAAATGTTCAAATAAAACTCACAGATCACAAACATTAGAGGACCCCAAACACTTCCCTGAGGAACTCCACATGTTTGTTTCCATCCACAACAGTTATGTGATTATTAGGAGTTGGTTCATTAGATAAGCAGTAGGTGGCGCCAATTATCCAGTCAGAAAAAAATTAAATTTGGTGTTTAAGACCCTGAATTGAATTCCATGACAGGTTTAAATGGTGTTGTCTCCATTGACATTTATTCTAACAGCAAAATAATTCAGTGTTTTATAGACAGTTGTCTTATTGAATCTGTGATAATGCTGAAAGATTAATAAACTAAACCAAATGTCTCCGCTGACCATCACACTTGACTACGAGCTCAAAATAGGAATTCTAATTCCTCCCAAAGGTGTTCAGTTCGGTTGGGGTCTAGAGTCTGACTAGTACCCTATTACCCTTCTACACTGCATTCTCTGAACCAGCTTCCAGTTGTGGTTCAGGAGGCAGACACCCTCTCCACATTCAAGAGTAGGCTTAAGACATTCCTCTTTGATAAAGCTTATAGTTAGGGCTGGATCAGGTGAGTCCTGAACCATCCCTTAGTTATGCTGCTATAGGCCTAGACTATCGGGGGATTTCCCATGGTGCACTGAGCTCCTCTCTTCCTCTCTCTTTCTGCACTCATTCATGTTCCATTAATGCATGTTACTAACTTCACTTCTTCCCCGGAGTTCTTGTGCTTTCTCATCCTGTTTGACATCCACTGCTATTTTTTCTTTATTATCATCATCATAATCATCAGTGTTATGGTTCTTTTCATCCTAGTCATCAAGATCATAATTATTATTTCTCATATTTCTTCTATTTTAGTTGTTTTTGTCACTACTGTTACTGCTGTGTATCTCTGTCACCAATACTAATCTTGCTGGAAGAAAAGAGAGTTTCAGACTGATAGAAGAAGTTCACTAACCTTGGTTTGTGGTGCAGCTCAGCAGTGAGGTCAGAACTAAAGAGAAATGACACTCGGGTTGGTTTGAGGTTGTGATACAACAAGAGAGCAGCACACACATATTGGGCCTCATATGTTAATGTTTTATTATCTTTGATTGCGTTTGGTGTTGAAAGTCCCCTCCAGACACGCAGGTACGTCACGATCTGATCTCAGAGATCAGTACTGGGGCCAATCAATTCATTTTTTAAGTATTCAGTATCAGCTACATTGAGCCAGATCTGATGCTTTAAGTCAGCTGTCACACTGGTCTTTTTACTGGCAATGTTTTCATGCACAGTGCAGCCGTCATCAACTGTCTGCTCCACCACCTAAAGTCGGGTGTGGCCTATTTCCTTTTGTCTGAGGTAATCATTTTGTTCATAGAAGGCACACACACACACACACACACACACACACACACACACACACACACACACACACACACACACACACACACACACACACACACACACACACACATACACAACACACTAGCAGTGAGCAGATCACATGCAGTGATATGCTTATCCACTCAAGCTTCATGCAAGTTACATAACATCAGCATTTTAGAAAATAGAACTGTAATTGTATGTTAACAAAATTCTCAGTCGCTGTAAATAAGCTCAGTGCGGTTATGTCCCATCTTATGCATCATCAAATTTCACATTGCCATCAGATGTCAAAACTGTCATGTTACTCACCAAGGTTAATGTGATGGCTGACTGAATAGTCTGTGAGTGCTTTGTAGTTTGGCTCATAGCTACTGACAGCTAGTCTCAGACAGTCTGTGAGGTGTTTGTCAGTGAGGTGGCACTTTGATTTGATTATTTTCATCTGTGAAAACGTCATTTCACAGAGGTAAGTGGATCCAAATTAGGCACTTACTCTTAGTGCACATGAGGTGATGAGGGGAAACTTCTCCCTGCTGACAAGTCCCCCAAAGTTACTGTCCTGTGATCTTACTTTCAGCTTAATGTCATTTTGCAAATCAACCATCTCCATGTCAAATACCTGCTGAAATGTGACTGCTACCTGTTCTACATCAATGGTCAGGAATGGGTTCAAGACGAATGCAGCAACATCTTCCATGAATTCACCAAAACGCCGACTGAACTCTGCTGCCACTTTGTCCAGGTGAACACAGTAGGCTTCTGCTCAGGGTGAAGCGTCCATGTGACCGATGGCCTGTGACATTTTCTCCAGGTTGGGGTTTGTGAAGTGTGTCAGTCGCCCGTTTTTCAGATGTGTGTTCCAAACACCAAGCTTGGCCTTGAACGCATGTGGGGCAGGTGTCGGTCTTTTCCCCGGAGCTCGTTGTTCAGTGCGTTCAGTTTTGCCGTGAGGTCTGTCAGAAACCCCAAATCCAGCAGGCACTGATCATCTGATCTCCTCATGCTCCTTGTTCCTTCCAACAAATCGCTGCAGCACTTTGCCACGACTCAACCACCGGACATCAGCGGAGGAGTAGGTCTCCGCACACGGCATCAAGTTCATCTAATAACCCCTTGAATAAGTGGTGCTGAAGCGCTTTTGCTCGAATCGAGTTAATCAGTTTGACCACCAGTCATAACATGCAAAAAATTCACGACCTTCCCCGCCAAGGCCTTCTGGTGAATGACACAGTGGTAATTCACAAAGTCAGGAAAATCATGGTCATTACGGCACAGCGCAATAAATCCAGCGTGCACACCGCGCATCGCTGGGGCTCCATCAGTGGTAATTGCCAGCAGTTTGTGAATGGGTATGTCATTATCGCGGACATTTTTAACTCGTTGTAAATATCCTCACCTCTCGTTCTCTCCTTTAAGTGCAAAAGAGTGAGGAGATCCTCTTTTGTTGTAGAGTCCAGGAACGCCATCCTGACAAATACAACAAGCTGCTTCCTCCTCACCACTGTATTAGGGCCTCTCCAGATTTCCTCTTTTAGCCAGTGCTAGAGTTTGGTGACACAGCATACACACACACTTGTCTTTCACCATGGTGAAAAGAAATTCCGCTTCCCATTCTGGATGGAAATGATATGTTTTCGACTTCTTTCTTGGAGCCTCCACCATGCCAGCTGACAACATTGCAGTCTATCGGCTATTAACTGCTAGTGCCGTATACTGTCATTTTTCGACAGTTAATGTGTCAGTATCTTTCTTTGATCTTATTGGTCAATTTAATGCAGCCTGTGAGGCTGAAAACATAGAGAAAGATAGTACAGAGAATGGCCATTGTTTTTTTTATGCACCATTATCTCGCGATAACGACTTATTATCTCGTTATCTCGATATAACAAAGATAATTTTCTCATGATAACAAATGAATTAATAATGTGTTCGTATTGATTTCAACCCACAAGAGCTGCCTCGAACGGCTTCCGTAGCCACTGGCTGTAGCTGTAGCCGACCGTAAGTTACACTTTACGTTAGTTTGTTTACTTGACTGGAAGCTGTTTGTGGCAACTCTTGTAGGTTGAATTCATTCGAGATAATAAGTCATTATCACAAGATAACAGTACATAGAAAAAGAAAAATCCATGGCTTCCGTAAGACAGAGAGAAAGAGAGGCGCTTGCAAAACTGAACATTAATCAGCCATAATGTATTTGTGTAATAATTTTTCTATTATTTTCGAGATCTACAGGGAATGTTTTCAATGATCTACCAGTCAGTCGCAATCGACGGGTTGGCGACCACAGTCCTAGACCATGTGACCCATGTAACCAACACAGCCCTCACCTGGAAGAACTCCCTCTGACGTGATTCAGATCAGTCATTCCCACTGAATAGATGGCCGACTTTTGTCTCTTATAAAATATTTAAAATGTGTCAATTGCTTTTAGTAAAAACCTTCAATGACTTTATTTTATTTTATTTGTTTCATTGTTGGAATTCAGTTTAAAACATAAATCATTCAAACACACTTACCCATGCTGTTCACACTGTATATACTGCTGTCATAACTGTACATAGTAGTTATGTCTGTTTTGCTGAGATATCTCAAGAAAATCGATGTGATGCAGAAATAACAGTAGAAATGCTCAGGAAAGTTATTTTATGCACAGTGAACTGTCGCCATGGTTTGTCATTTTATAAAAAGTGGCTCCCCAGAAATTATGCTAAACGGTAGTAGACTTTTTTGTATTAATTGTATTCCATGTATATAATAAATCTTTGAATATAAAAATGACTCAGTGAAATTGGTTGACAAATGTAAACCGTACAGTGCTTCTTATCCAGAAAAACTGCAGCTGAACAAATCAGTCCAAAGTGTTTGTGAGTGTAGTTTACAATCATATACTGTGTAATAATAATCCACACATGCACTGCAAGTAAAATAGAAAAGGTGGTTTAATATTTACATTATTATAGATATTTACATTATAAGACCTCTTTATACCTGACTTTAAAAGGTTTGTCTGTTTTCAGCTCACCAGCAGTCTGATGGATCAGTGCAATGACCAGGGATGGAAGAAGAAAATGTACTGTTGTTACTGTGTCCTCTAGCGTTTTAGCTTTTAACATTTTCAAACACTTTGTATTTCAGACTGTCGATACGTCTCTGTTACTTATTCTGCTGTTAGAGTCACAGGTTACTTCATTGATAGGGCTTTATATTGTCTGTCCAGGTACTGATGTTACTGAGGAAGGTGGCTGTGTATCTATAGGTGATGATCAGTGCTGTGAACACTGTACACACATCACATGGTACACACTTTATGTTGTGGCCTGAAGGTACTTTAATAGTTCTATCACATTAGATTATCATGTTCCCCTTACAGTAATGTTCACTTACAGCTCATGTTAAATGATCCACTCTGTACTACAGGCCTTTTTATAGAGCTCCTTGTTTGTTTTCTCATCTGTCGTGTATCTTTTAATCTATCCTTCCCTCTTGTTTTTTCTTTCTTTGTTTGTATTTACATTCTCCCTATGTTTGTGTTTTTGTGTGTTGTTATGTTTGTTTATTTGTTGTTGGGAAAGCACTTTGGATCTCTTTGTCAAAAAGGTGCTATATAAATAAAGTTTTACTGACTTACACTTACTTACCTACTTGTATCTGAGTGCAGGTTAAGGAATTCAACTATTTCACTTGAACTGAATATTGTAGTACTTTTTCCATCCCTGGCTCATTTAATGATATTGAATGTTTGAATTCCTTTTAGTCTGACCCTTTCCTGGGACCAGTTTGTCGTGGGAGACCCCACCAGGAGCTGAGTGCTCCAGACAATACAGCTCCCAGGATCAACGGGTACACAAACCCCTCCACCACGATAAGGTAGCAATTCACAGAGGGGAGACATTGTTAGTTTGCACTGAACCGTACAGACAGCGGAGAGCCTCAAACAGCACAGACAATAATGTTGTATCATGATGTGTTCAGGTGTAAAGAGCTCTGTGGCAGTTCAGAGGAGCTGATCACCCACTGCTTCATCAGCAGCTGGTTCTGATTTACTCTTTTTCTTCCAGAGAACCATTCCAACAACAACAGCTGAACAAATCAGACCGAAAGCTATCAGTCCAACTGCCAGTCCAATGTGTTTGTTTCCATCCATGTTGGCTGTGTCTTTGTAGTCTCCATCCATGGTGTTTTTGCTGTTGGAACCTGAAGATGAAAATGTACATTAGTCAGGAAATGACTGAACAGAATCCATTTCTTCTTCTATATCCCTCATGTTTGACTCTGAGAATCACCCTGAACTCCACTAACTCACCTGAGGCTGTGACCTCCAGTTGGATGGTTCTGATTGTCTTCCTGTCAGTGATGCCTGTGTTGTCTGAACCACCTTTAGCAACTCGACACTCATATGTTCCTCTGTCACTGATGATCACGTTCTTTAGAACTAAAGACACGTTTCCATCCTTCAGCTCTCTGTCTGTCAGATCCACCCGACCCTTAAAGGATGGATGTTGGTAGTATGGATCTAAGTGTCCATCACTGTAATAGAGGACGTACTCTGGCTCCAGGTCAGTTCTGGTCCACTCTACAGCTCTGATGGAGCCATCACCAGCTGAACATGGCAGAGTGACATCACCTCCAGGATTCACTGATATCACTTGTTGCCCTAAAAACCAACAATAAACATCCAGAGAGAAAAAGTTGTTCAGGGAAATAAAGCATTTTCACTTTTATATTAGAGACAATTTTGACATGTAAGTAATGAATTAAAGAAATGATCTCTCCCACTCTGCACTTGTATGCAATACAAATCATATTTGAATCCATACAACTATAATAATAATAATAATAATAATATAATTGATCGCTGTCTGGAGGAGTCTCTCCCTCTTTAAAAGTGTCCTACAGCAGAGTCTTTACCTGAATAAACTGGATTCTGCTCACTGTGTATTTTCCTCATCTGTACATCTGTTACTCAAATTTCATTAATAAAATACTCTTATTGGCTTTTTGTTTGCATTGGCGTGGTTGTGTATGTCTCCCCACCGCTCTCTTGCTGACCTCTGACCAGGTGTGTGTGTGTGTGTGTGTGTGCAGGAGCTCAGCACACACACACACACACACACACACACACACACAGCGACTGAGTGGATGATGGAGCACTGTGCGCAAAAGTTTCATGTATAAATCATCTGGTAAAGCTGCACTGTCACCACCTGCACTATCATAAAATATCACATCTAACAAAGTCTGAACAGTTGGGGGGTCACATTCATGTTTTTTCTAACAAAGGCAATAAATAGTTAATAATAACAGAAAAATCCATTGACAGCAGTAAAAAAGGATAGAGCATGTCTTCTACTCTAACGTGGGGGTATTTTCTGGCCACCAACAGGGCAGGAGGGGTGAATGCAAGGCCGATAATGGAGCCTCCGTACAGCGTTCAACAGCCTCAGCTGCCAGCGAGGCAAAGCGTCTCATCTAAAGTACTGTTGGCTGAAATAAGCTGCTGTAACTATTCACCTGTAGCAGAGACATGTTCTCTGCAACTGAAACATCACTCAACAGCTAATGTGGCTGTGACAGGTTGCGAGTAAGCTAGGCTAGGCTAGGCTAGGCTAGTTAGGTTAGTCAGCGTAGTGAAGTAAAATGGTAGTCAGATCCACACACACACACACACACACACACACACACACACACAAACATTGCTCACCTTGTGCAACCGGAAAAAGATTTATAATGACCAGGAGTTTAAACACGATGAAACCAACGGATCGAGTAAATTTGAATGGAGCCATTCCGCGTGTTTCCTGACAGCGAGTCCTTCCGGTGTATGAGAGGGAGTAGCTATAGGTCAGGGGACGTCGGTCGTACGATATTACGTTTTCACCGGCTGTTCATCAATAACAACACGCACCAATTTCCGGGTCTGTACATTAAATATTATCCAGGCGATCAACCTGACCTGAACCTGGAATTTCTATCTGAGTTTTAACAAGTTTAGTCCTTAAAACAGATAAAGTAATTATTAATGAATAATTATTGTAGGTGACTGTCGATAGTACCAGCATTAGTACTGTATTTATCTCATTATTACCCTTAATCTGTCATATGACACTGAAACTGAACATTTAATGACCTGACCATTATTTAGGACAAGGCACTGCATTTATTACTACAGAGAAATAAAAACATCATTATATGTAATAAATGTAGATTTGTCAAACGAGACTTTCTGCTTCTTTAAAAGTTTCCAGAATCCTCAAATAATCCTTTAATTATCTGGATGAAAAAAACATGTCCACTGTAAAAATCCAGGAAGTTCAGTAGTTTGAAGATTCATCAGATGATAAAACTGCACTCAGGTTTATAACACAGACTGTAGGTTGTTACAGCAGCAACTGATTGATCTTCTGTTGCTGTGTACAGGTGGATGCTTCCTTTTACCTGAGCACTGGGGGAGGGGAGGGAGGGTGTGGTTACATTCAGCTGAGCAGGTATTTTCCAGGAAACAATCTGTATGAAAAGATACAGCAGATGGTTTCTGATCAACAACTGGTGGAAAAATACAACATGACTTTTACTCAAGTATTGGACTTGAATGGAGCCACTTGCCTTTCCTGACCTCCAGCATTATAGCTTAGGGACATTTTCATGAGGTAACTGGTCAATGGACTGTGCTTATATAGGGCCCTTCTACTCTTTCAACCACTCAATGTGCTACATGCCACACAAACCCCATTCACACACACTCATACACTGATGCACAGTATCAGGAGCAAATCGGGGTTCAGTGTCTTGCTCAAGGACACTGCGACATGCAGCGAGAGCGAGAGGAGCCGGGGATCAAACAAGCAATATCCCAGTTAGTGGATTAGCTTTACCTCTGAGCCACAGCCGCCCACAGCTGTGTCATTTAAAGTAGATGCCACATTTGATGAGTTTTGGACGTGCAGGAAAGGATGAAGGATTGTGACACAGTCTGAGTTTGTTTAGCTAAGGTCGGTCAGTGGAGACTCAATTGTGTGAAATGATACGAAAAGTGAAAAATGCATTTTGATAACGTGAAATCAAAGTGATCAAACTGTGTCTGTGAGCAGCAGCCTGTTTCTTCCTGGACACTAGTGACATCATATGATCTCTGATTGGTTGCTCTGTGTGTGTAAGCGGTCAGTCCGGTTCGGCTTTAAATGAATTCAGTTTGTCTTCCAAAACTCAATAATCCATAGACCAGGTCCAGTACTGTCCTGTTAGTTGTTTATACACATCATCATAAAGGACGGTGCATTCAGGGACAGGACTGACAAATGAAACCACTTTGTTTGCCTACTTTACATGTTCGCTCAACCAGCTACACAAGAGTAAAGACGGGACAGTCAGTAATTCAGACTCTGTGTAAGAACCCTCCTCCTCACTCATGATACACACACTGCATTGTCTCCCATGAAACCCAGAGATTAGACTGTTTGAATATCTAATGTAGAGGTAAATGGTTTCAGCTGCAGCAGCTGCACTGAAGGCTGTTTGTCAGTCAAACTGTACAACATGTGGGTCAAGAGCAGGTTGCTGTTCGCTAGACCCAACAGAGAAACAGTGAGTCACCACAAAGTCACAAACTCTGCATAATTAGGCCGAATATAATGCAAATCACCACACAAGAGGAGGAAATGGAGTCACAACAAGGAGACAGGGAAACTGTTCGGACAACAGTCGTGATGCTCTTCTGTTCTGTGTGTTTTTAATGTAACAACATTTTACTCCTGATCTCCTGAATATCACACAGGAACCTGTTCTGGAAGATAAATGAGAAACTGCTCATTAGTGACGACGATGTGAAATGTCCTCATCCTCACAGGTCGTTCCAAAACCCAAAGAGGTTCCCATCCCATATCTCCACTAGAGGCCTGAACTGGCTCAACACCAAGCCCAGATATGGATCCTGATCAGTCTATGACAGCACTGAACTTCCTCTAGTCTCCATCTCCAGCACCTTAAATTAATCCAGAACATAGACCACTCCCCAAAACACATTGAAGACAACATGGTGGACAGGAAAGTACCCGACAACAGAAATAAATAACAGAAACTAATCCAGAGAAAAGCAGAATGCAAAAGTCAGTAAAACATTTATTTTATTACAAAAGAGCATAACAATCATATTGGAATTATTTATGACTGATATTGTGAATGTGATGAGTCACAAGAATTAATTATAAAACTTGTGACGATGTGATTTTTGGTCTGTCTGAAGGTCAGAGCATCGCAGTGCTTCAGGTCTGATTCGGTTCGTTGTGTCACATCTTTGCAGTTTGTACAGATTTCTATTTTCATTAACTTCATTAAGTCAGTTCACCTCATTCAGACAAAAACAGAGTTCATATTCGTTGGGTAATATGTATGTTGATGTTGCTACAAAGAGAAGTAACTGTAAGATGATGGTGAAGTAATGAGGGAATACATAGCATTTACTCAGTATTATGTCTCTCTCATTAATTAATGAACTGCTCTATAAATGTGACTATAGTTCCTCATTGTCAGTCAGAAAGGAAACAGCTGACACATGGTCTGTGTGTTGAGTATTAACCAGCAACCTGTGGCACTTTCAGTAGTCTCATAAAGCAGTAGGTGCACACAGAAGTGTTTCTGATGGTTGGTAGCCTGTGTCTTACAACCTGGCCTTCAGACAAACTGCAGACAATGCTACAATAAATATGCTAATAGACTGAGGATAAAGATAAAGGTAGGTCTATCTGGTGTTTTCAGGCGGTGGAGACCCGGTAAGCCTGACGATTGGGTCGCTTACAGTTGCGACCCCGGTGATGACTCCTGCGCTCATCTTCACAACGACGGACGCCTCAACAACATCAACTGCTCCAACAAGTATCGCTACATCTGCCAGAAACACAGCCAGCGCAGTTAAACAGGCTCCGCCCACTGTGACCTGAACAATGATCTGATCCCAGCACAGCAGACTGATCAGTTCCTGCTCGTCTCCTGTCCAGTTTATTGATCATCTGTATTCTGTACCACAGAGCTCTTTGTTCAAACTAATAAAACTCATCAATGAGACAAACAGATATAAAATATGATTGGCTCATATTTTTTTTCATTCATTCTCTTGTTGTCTGAAAAAAAAAAACTAATGAGGACAATACAGCGATTCAAATATTAAAGTGAGAGAAGAATTTATTCATTAACTGTAATGAAAACTCTCAGTTTATACAACAAGAACATGTCGGTCGACACTCAGAAACAATCTACAGCTTCTTCCAAAATACAACAATAAGTATTAAACAAAAACCTTCAGAATATCCTGAATGTTTGTCAGAACATATCTGTGTTTCTGAATCATTTTAGACGCTTAAATATTTCAATATTTGGTTCCAATTAAATATTAACGAGGTTCAAAGGAAGAAAAAGTCATAGCATAGCATAACTAAGTATAGGAAAGGATGAAAGAGGTGTAGCTTAGCCAGCTGGTTACACTGTTAATAATCCTGTTATTATTCAATAGGAACTAAAGAGTGACATTTATTTCTCCTTTAAACACAAAGTTGTTCCCAAACTTCTTGTCTTCTTCTTCCAGTCTG